GAGTCACCGAGATCCTGTCCGGCGTAAACTTGAAGTAGCCGTAGCTTGGTGCAATCCCGCCCGCCATCACGTGAGTCGCTGATATCGGCGCCAATCCGCTTCGTCGGCCTCCGACGTCGCCCTGCGAGGCCCCTGCAGCCGCTAACGACTGCATTCCTCGTGCCTGAACGCCACCGGCTTCACCGGCAAGTATCACTCCTCTCGGCCTCGACGTGCCTCCCGCACTGCTGCCGACGTTGTCCCCAGCGTTAACGCCCACGTTGACGCCGTCCTCGGTGTTCACTGGTCGAGGAGAGGCAGGCCGAGAAGGGTGCTCCGTCGCCCACACGGCGCGGATGCCAGCCTCGACGACCGCCCAAGGGATTTCCCCGTACTCGCGCGCCTCATGGCGACTCCTCGCATGCCCCGGCTATGCCTCCAGGGTGTCCATCATCTCGGCATCGCCTACGCCTAGACGGGAGATTACACAGCTGCCGGTCTACGAACAACGTTGGTAATAGGGCTACGAAGTTGGCTAAACTGAATGCTACCTTGCGGTGCCGTCCACGCTCACCGCACCATGCGGAGATAACTCTATCAACGGGATCTAGGCGACGGGCTAGGCACGGGGTAGGAGGGATCTCTGCGCTCGTTTACTTAGTCGTTTCCTAGTGCACACACTGCTTGCTAGTTCACAGGACAATTTTAGCAAGACTTTCACTAAGAAAACGTTGACAACAAAAGTTCAGAATGATAGCATCAACATTGGCAACACAGACTACATCAGACCTAGCAAGGTTGCTGGTCGACTGCCAGCGCAGCACAGTCGACCGCGTGCCAGCACGACTTGGTCGACCGCGCTCCAGCAGAGCAAAGTCGCGGCTTGCCAACGTTGCAGGTCCGCGGTGTGCCAACGCTGCAGCAAGTCGGCTGCACAGCATTGCACCCGCAGGACAACGGTGCACCTGCTTCGCAGGTGCGCGCAGCTGGTTGGTGCACCACTCCTCGTCACGTGCACAGTGCAGACGCCCAGGTCAATTCCACGCCAGCGACTGCGCCCACCAGCCACGTCGACCTCGGGATACCACCCCCGTGGTCGCCCTCGCAGAATCCATCCCGGTGACCTTCGCACACGTCGCCCGGGTATCCCGGTCGACCGGGCAACCACGCCAGGTCGACCAGCTCGGTCGGCCGCCGACTACGCAAGCCCGGCGTCCCCAATGGTCGGCGCCCTCCACCTCGACGCCATGGCATTCGACGCCTGGCTGCTCGGCGTTCTGCTACTCGACACCCTCCAGCCCGGCGTCCCCAGATTCCCTTGTCGAGGTCGATGTCGGCTCCCCCCTTCGTCGACCACCAAGTCCGGTCGACCACCAGGTCGACAACTTTCCTGTCAGCCAGCCTTCCAAGTCGGCTGCAACTTGCTCGCTTGCCACCCCAGACGAGCTGCGGCCGTTCCGTGGGCGGGCGTCTATGCTGGCAGCAGTGGACTTCTACGTCAGCATGCACAGTGACGTTTTTGTATCCACGTTAGCAGGCAACACGCATATTGTTACGGTGAGTGCATGGTGCTGCGAGTGCATGGTGCTGTGAGTGCATGGTGCTGTGAGTGCATGCTTCTCACTTATGCTCCTGCAAAATATTTTTTTCTCTACTCTCCCACCCACCAGGATGGGTACCGCGCCTACTTTGGAGGCAAGAAGACCATCAAGCTCAACACCACTCTCCTAGCCTCTCTCCTTCAGACACCGAACCTTACTTGGCCGGACTTCACCCGAGCCATGCGCACGGGCCATAAGGGGAGGCTTTGACAGATCAAGGCTCGACGAGCCGACCAATCACTGCACACGCATCCTGCTCCTGAGTGCTTGTGTCGAGTGGATGGTGAAGCGGAGGGAGAGAGAGGGGTAGAGATGGCGAGAGGAGGGCTGCTGAGGTGGTGGTATGGGGAGCAAACGCCGGGTGCAAAAGCATCACCCTCCATGGTGATTGGCTTGAAATGAGATTTTTTTTTTTTGTTGTGAAGCAACCTATTACAATCGTTGTGTGCAAATTTTTTTTTTTCATCACCTATGCTTGGAAAAAAAAAAGATGAGGAAAATCTAGTGAACCGTAGCCCTTTTGGTGGGTTAGTATAAATCTTTGCTTGTGTGTTAAGAAACATTGTTTTTTTGCTTTTATGATTGGAATTCTACTACTGCGTATTGACGAGAGTAGAAATGATACCGTGGTGTTGCTGAAACGCTGCTTGATCAGTTCAGTCGTCCTACAGCTTGAACGAGGCATAACTACTCCCTGTGATTCTCTACGTCCTTGGCTAGGAGGTGACAAGTTGTCACGCTCGAAGGACTTTCAAGGGAAGTTAAGTGTTGCTAAGTTAAGGCTTGTAGCAAGATTCTAAATGCTTCCGCACAGGCTATAGTAGTTATCACCGCTCGCCCAATGTCATGGAGTGGAACTCCGACACCTGAAAACTTGGAGAAAGTCGTCCCAAGTTTTCAGGCTGAATCTCCAAATCATGAGCCTGCGTCTTGAACGAATCTGGATAGAAGACAAAAAAAGAAAGTTATATCCGAACAAATATAATGTACCTAAACTTTGTGGAAAGCATAACAGACATCAAAATAGAAATGATTAACATAATGCTTACCGCTCTCATGAACAACAAGAGTCGCTGTCACGTTATTAAACGTGCGGACTGATGTCTCTCCGTGGGCGCGACATCTGTGCACATTCAAAGCTGAAGATGTGAAAACAGGCATTCCGCAAATGGAATCTCCTGCGCCACCAGTGCAGACAACTCGACTGTCGTGCACTGGGTCTCTGATCTGTGTTGCGAATGTTGCTATCTTCTCTTCGTTTGTTACCATCACCAATGTGTCCACATGAGAAATGCTGATTCTACAAAAAAAAAAAAAAACAAAACAAAAAAAAACTAATCAATTTCATGTTTGATTAAAACCGCTCACTTGCGTAATTTTTTATTACTTACAAGCTCACAAGACCGACGTATTGTAGCTCGGTGAATGGTGCATCCGTGGTGACGGATGCTGGAACAAGATCGAGAATGACAATCTCCGAAGGCACTGTCGTCGTGAACACTGCCGATTTGAGATACACGTTGCTGATGAAAACAGGAACATCGCTAGCATCGCGGCGATCTGCAAGGTATCTCACACAGCTGAAGTTGATCATGATGGCAGCATCCCCGAGCGCTACCGATGCACTCTTCATCGTTGAGTCATCGATGCAAGCCGTGAACTTTGGGAGCGCGCGGTTCGGCTCGAAATAAAAGATCTTGAGCCTGACAGAGATGCAAAGGATCTGGAAATAAAAGAAGTGGATGGTACAAGTGATATAAAAACATAACATACATGCAGAAGGGTATACCATGATTGGCTATTACTATGTGTGGTATAAATGAATTCGAGTTATACAAGATAGAAAGATGTATCACACATTACAAAGGTTAATGACTACTATAATGCAATGAGCATAGTGTAGAAAGATGTAATAAATATAGTCGCAATTCTTACCCTAGACTGATCCTCGCCACTATAAAGGCTCAAAAGCGTGGGAGTAGGCAAGTTTCCCACGTTCAGCCGAGGAGACCCGCTGGCCTCGATCAGGTGTGAGCTGTCAGAATCCCAACCACTAACCACTGGGATAAAAGGGCTTGTTTGTGTAGCGGGTGAGTGCGCCCATAACCCCCCAGGCCGCCATGCCTGTAACCCTTCCCTAGGATCAATCGGGGATCACCAGTGGACCTCTGACACCCCCCCCGCACTGGGATGCCCGAGGTGCATACACCGGGATTCGAACCCGAGACCTTCGCTCTGATACCATGTCAGAATCCCAACCACTAACCATTGGGATAAAAGGGCTTGTTTGTGTAGCGGGTGAGTGCGCCCATAACCCCCCAGGCCGCCATGCCTGTAACCCTTCCCTAGGATCAATCGGGGATCACCAGTGGACCTTTGACATGAGCACCGATGCGTCCAGTTGAGTTGCGTGCAAAGTGTCAAACATTATATATGTTGTAGCTTTGTAGGCTACAGTGGGTTTAGCCGTACACAATTCTAGGGTTGCATATTTGTACTCCCATTCTTGCTAGTCACACCATTCCTCGTTTCTTCACATGGTTTCAGAGCAGGTTCCCTAGTGGGAACGCTTCCTAGGGCCCACCACGAAATTTTTTTTCCTGCCCGGAGCGCGCTTTGCTCCTGCCCGAGTCGCGCCCCGTGTGCCCTCCCTACCGTCGCGCCCTCTCTCAGCACCTCACGGCCCCTTCGCGTCGCCCTTAGCGGCCCCTCTCACGGCCCCTCGCGCCGCCCTTACGGCCCCTCGCGCCGCCCTTACGGCCCCTCGCGCCGCCCTTACGGCCCCTTACGGCCCCTCACGCCGCCCTTACGGCCCCTCGTGCGGCCCCCCTACGGCCCCTCGCGCCGCCCTTCGCGGCCCGTCGCGGCCTCTTCACGGCCCGTCGCCGCCCTCCGCGGCCCCTCGCGCCGCCCTTCACGGCCCGTCGCCGCCCTCCGCGGCTCCTCGCGCCGCCCTTCACGGCCCCTCCACCGCCCTTCGCGGCCTCTCACTGCCCTGTCGCCGCCGTCCCTGCAGCAGCAGCCGCCGCCGTCCCTGCAGCAGCAGCCGCCGCTGTCCCCGCAGCGGTAGCCGCAGCCGTCCCTGCAGCAGCAGCCGCCGCTGTCCCCACAGCAGCAGCCGCCGCCGTCCCTGCAGCAGCAGCCGCCGCCGTCCCTGCAGCGGAAGCCGCAGCTGCAGCAGCCGTTACCAGCAGCAGCCGCCGCCACCTCCCTCGGGGCCGCAGCCGCCGCCGGCGCTGACAAGAGCCGCCGGTGCGCCTCGGCCCTACCGACGCGCCTCGGCCCTACCTGCGCGCCTCGGCTCGTCCCTGCCGGTGCGCCTCGGCCCTGCCCCACCACTTGCGGCTCTCTGCCCTGGTAAGAGTGTCGCCGCACTGCGCTGTCACTACTGCCACTGCTGCTACTGCTGCCACTGCTGTCATGGCTACCCCTAGCGTCCTTGTCTTTGATGCTGAGGGTCGGGCTGTTGACTTTGAGGTCTGGCTCGATGATCTGCAGCTTTTCCTACAGTGCGATAGGGCAGACGGTCTCTCCCTCTTTGACCTCACCTCTGGTGCCTCCGCTTCCCCTGCTGCTGATGCTGACGCCACTGTTCGCTCACAGTGGGCCACGCGCGATGCTGCTGCCCGCCTTGCTGTGCGCCGCCACTTGCCGACTGCTGAGCGTGCGCACTTTAGTCAGTACAAGAGTGCTAAGACCTTGTACGACGCTGTAGTTGCACGCTACTCTTCCCCTGCCACTGCTGCGCTTAGCCGCCTCCTACTACCGTACCTCTTCCCTGACCTCTTCCTTTTCCCACTGTCGCTGACCTCATTACGCACCTTCGCACTAGTGACATTCGCTACCGCGCTGCGCTTCCTGCTGAGTTCTGCGCCAAGAACCCCCCCCCCATGTACATCACCCTCTACTACATAGTCACCCGGCTCCCTGACACCCTTCGCTCGGTCAGGGACCACTTTCTCTCTGTTTGCCCCACCACCCTCACCGTTGACCTCCTCGAGGAGCGTCTCCTAGCAGCAGAGCAGAGCATAGTTGCTGTAGGAGCCTCTCGTGGTGACCCTCGTACCCCTGTCTTTGAGGGGTGCTCCCCCTCCCCCCTCTTGCCCTCTGTTGCCTCTGCTGCTGCGGCCGACCTCGTTGGTGTTGAGTCGGTCGGTGCGGCGTCTACCCCTAGCGGGAGACGCCGCTCAGGCAAGGGCAAGGGGGGCAAGGGCGTTGGGGGAGCTGGCGGAGGCGGTGGAGGCGGCAGTGGAGGAGGCGGAGGGAGTGGGGGTGGCGGTGGGAGTGGTGGTGGGAGTGGGGGCACTAGTGGAGGCAGTGGCGGCGGAGGAGGAGGCGGTGGTGGAGGTAGCGGCGGCGGAGGTGGAGCGGGTCGGGGCGGCTCTACGCAGAGGGTCGGCTCCGGTGGTGGTCAGCGCCAGCAGCAGCAGCAGCAGCGTCCTCGTGAGACCCCTTCCCCCCAGCAGCTTCGTGAGTGGTACACTGCTCGTCAGCGGGGCGGGGGTGCTGGCCCCTGTACCTACGTTCTCCGTACCGGCGACCGCGCGGGTGAGCAGTGTGGGGGGGCGCACTCCACCCAGCGCTGCTTCGGCCGTCTGACGGACGCTTGGCGTCACCAGTTCCCCGACGCTACTGAGATCCCTCGCTGGGGCGAGCTGTCTAGGGCGGGTGTTGCGATCTTTGATCTTGATTATGATGCTATTCTTGCTGCCATGTATGCTGTGACTATTAGTGATGAGGGTGACTGTTACCGGTGTTTTCCGCCTGACCCGGGCATTGAGGCTGCTGCTCTAGGTGCTTGTGAGGCTGCTGCTCTAGGTGCCAGTGCGTCTGCCGCCCCAGGTGCCGGTGAGTCTGCGCTCTCAGGTACTGCGTCGTCTCCGGACACCCACACCTTCACCCTTGACTCGGGTGCTTCCCGCTCCTTCTTTCGAGACTGCACCACGCTCACGCCGCTTAGTCGGCCAGTCCTGTCCTTGCCCGCTTCTCCACTGTCCTACCGTGTCCGGCGGCCCCTTCTGGCACCCTGTCGGGTCTTTACCTCCCCTCGTTCTCTACGAACTTGGTGAGTGGTGCTGACCTCCAGGATGCAGGGGTTCACCAGTTCACTCCTGCGAGTCAGCGAGTGACCCACTGTACCTGTGCTCGGTCGGGCCGTCACTTGGCCACGTTTACCCGTCAGCCGGGGTCGAGCCTGTACACACTGACTACTGAGTCTCCTCCAGTCGCTGAGTCTGCTCAGGTAGCAGCGTCGGGTCAGGTGTTTGCTGCGGCGTCCAGGTCTGGCCCTGAGTCTGCCCCCTGCTCGTGTCGTCTCCTGTCCCACCGGACTCTCCTCTGGCACCACCGCCTTGGTCACCCCTCCCTGCCTCGTCTTCGAGGCATGGCTTCCCGTCTTCTTGTCTCTGGCCTCCCCCGGTCCCTCCCTCCCCTTCCTCCGGGGCCTGCCCCTACCTGCGTTCCCTGCGTCGAGGGGCGGCAGCGCGCTGCTCCTCACTCCTCCGAGTTTCCTCCGACAGAGGCTCCGCTGCAGACGCTTCACATGGACGTGTGGGGCCCAGCCCGCGTCCGTGGGCAGGGTCACGAGCGTTACTTCCTGTTGGTGGTTGACGACTACTCGCGTTACACCACAGTCTTCCCCTTGCGCAGCAAGGGTGACGTTACTGAGGTGTTGATCGACTGGATCCGCGCAGCTCGTCTCCAGCTCAGGGAGAGTTTCGGCTCGGACTTTCCTGTTCTGCGTCTGCACTCCGACAGAGGCGGAGAGTTCTCCTCTGACCTTCTGCGGGACTTTTGTCGTGCACGAGGCATCCGCCAGACCTTCACGCTTCCGGACTCTCCACAGCAAAATGGGATTGCTGAGCACCGCATTGGCATGATCATGGACGTCGCTCGTACGTCCATGGTCCATGCGGCTGCCCCCCATTTTCTGTGGCCGTTTGCGGTTCGGTACGCGGCGCATCAGATCAACCTTCACCCCCGGGTCTCCATGCCGGAGACCTCCCCTGCTTTACTGTGGACGGGGAAGGTTGGCGATGCGTCTGCGTTCCGTGTCTGGGGATCTCGGGCGTTTGTCCGCGTCTTGTCTGTGGACAAGCTGTCCGTTCGTGCCGTTCCCTGCGTCTTCCTTGGCTTCCCTCCTGACGCGCCAGGCTGGCAGTTCTACCACCCCACCTCGCGCCGTGTTCTGTCCTCCCAGGACGTCACCTTTGACGAGTCGGTTCCCTACTACCGTCTCTTCCCCTACCGCACTGCGTCCCTCCCTCCCCCGCCGCTCTTCCTTACGCCAGGTCCCCCTCAGGTAGACGCCCTCCCCCCTCAGGGTTCTGCCCCCTCAGGTGTGTCCGAGATGGATGCGGTCGAGCCTGTCGAGGTGCCTGTTGACTCTGGTGCTGCTGGGGGTGCTGAGCCTGGGGGTGCTGGGTCTGGGGGTGCTGCGACTGGGGGTGCTGAGCTTGGGGGTGCTGAGCCTGGGGGTGCTGAGCCTGGAGGTGCTGCGTCTGGGGGTGCTGAGCCTGGGGGTGTTACGCCTGGGGGTGCTGAGCCTGGGGGTGCTGCGTCTCGGAGTGCGGAGCCTGAGGGTGCTGGGCCTGCTCGTGTGGCGTCTGGTGGTGCTGGGCCTGGAGGTTCTTCGGGTGCTTCGTCCCGGCGGGAGCTACTCTCTCCACAGGAGCTGCGTGAGTGGTTCGCCCGGCGCTGGAGGCGTGCTGCTGGAGCTGGCGGTGCTACGGACGCTGGAGGTTCTGCTGCTGCTGAGGGTGCTGGTGCAGCGGGTCCCGGAGGTGCTCGTACAGGGTGTACTGGAGCTGCTGGGCCTACGGGTGCTCCTGGTGCTGGAGCTGGTGGTGCTACTGGTGCTACTGGCGTTGGTGCTGCTGGTGCTCCTGGAGCTGGAGCTGCTGCGTCTTCTGGTGGTCCGACTGGAGCTGGCGCTACTAGGGGTGTTGGCACTGGAGGTGCTACTGGCGCTGGTGCTTCTGAGGGTGCTGGAGTTGGCGCTGCTGGAGCTGGGGGTTCTACTGGTGCTGGTGCTGCCGTTGGGGGTGCTGGTGCTGTTCCTGCTGGTACTGGTGGCGCTGCGCGGCCACGGCCGTACTTCGTTCCGCTCCTTGAGCAGGTTCTTGGTCTTCCGTCCTCTCTTGGTCCTGCTCCTGGCTTAGAGTGTCCGCCTCCTGTCCAGTCTGAGTCACAGTTACAGCCAGCCTCCCCGCTTCCTTCTCCTTCTCCCTACACTGGTCCTACTGGAGGTCTTGCTGAGCGTCGTGAGCCTGCGTCTCGCCCTGCGTCGCCTGTCCGTGCTGCTCGCACTAGTGGTCGTGGTTCGCGTCAGCGTCCTCCCCCTGTCCCCGGCACGCACCGGATGTCTCTGCGTCCTTCCACTGCTCCACTGCGTGCCCCTTTGCCTTCTCCTCCCGCGTCCTCTCTTCCTACACTTCCTGACCCGGAGTCGGACTCCCTTCGTGCTGCGCGTCCTACTGTCACGTGTCTCCTTGCTACTGTCACGCGTCTCCCTTCGTGCTGCGCGTCTCTTTTGAGTCTACTGCTGCGTCTGCCCTAGTTGCTGAGCTTGTCGACTTCGCTGCTCGCTGTCGCCTAGACTACGCTGCCAGTCTCGTCGCTGAGTCTGAGTCTGTCTGTCCTCCGTCCGTCGGGGGTGAGTGTGCTCTTGGCACGGACGTCCTTGAGGACAGGCAGGAGGAGTTCCAGTGCTTGGCTGCTGCTTCACCTCATCTCGTGTCCATGCTGCTTGCCCCTGAGGGAGACCCGGATGCACTTGACATCCCGACTCCGCGCTCTTACGCGGAGGCGATAGAGGGTCCCTACTCCTCTCAGTGGCAGGCAGCCATGGACGCAGAGATGGCTTCCTGGAAGTCCACAGGCACCTACGTTGACGAGGTTCCCCCGCCTGGGGCGAACATCGTCAGTGGCATGTGGATTTTCAGGGTGAAGCGGCCGCCGGGTTCTCCGCCTGTCTTCAAGGCGCGTTACGTGGCTCGTGGCTTCAGTCAGCGGCAGGGAGTTGACTACTTTCAGACCTTCTCTCCCACCCCGAAGATGACCACTCTTCGGGTACTGCTGCACATAGCCGCTCACCGAGACTACGAGCTGCACTCTCTTGACTTCAGCACTGCTTTCTTGCAGGGCAGCCTGCACGAGGAGATCTGGCTGCGCCACCCACCTGTCTTCACTGGGACTTTTCCTCCAAGCACCCAGTGGAGCTTCCGGCGGCCAGGCACCTCGTGAGTGGCACGACACACTGAGGACTACACTTGCGACTCTTGGGTTTGCTCCTTCTACTGCCGACCCGTCGCTGTTTCTGCGCACCGACACTTCTTTGCCGCCGTTCTACATCCTCGTGTACGTCGACGACTTGGTCTTTGCTACAGCTGACACTGCTGGACTCGCCTACGTGAAGTCCGAGCTGCAGAAGAGACACACGTGCACAGACCTGGGTGAACTGCGCAGCTACCTTGGCTTGCAGATCACCCGGGACAGAGCACAGCGCACCATTACCTTCACTCAGTCACACATGGTGCAGCAGGTCCTTCAGCGCTTCGGCTTCACGTACTCCTCGCCTCAGGCCACTCCTCTGTCTACACGCCACTCGCTCTCAGCTCTGCCTTCGGATGAGTCCGTAGAGTCGAGTGGCCCGTACCCAGAGCTTGTTGGCTGCCTCATGTACCTGATGACCTGCACTCGACCTGACCTTGCATACCCTCTTAGCATTCTGGCACGCTATGTTGCTCCTGGGAGACACAGGCTAGAGCACATGGCTGCAGCGAAGAGGGTGTTGCGCTACTTGTGCAGTACGTCGAGCATGGGGCTTGTGCTTGGAGGGCAGAGTTCAGTGGTCCTCACTGGTCACGCAGACGCTTCTTGGGCTGACGACCAGGCTACGCAGCGGTCGTCACAGGGTTACACCTTCAGCCTTGGTTCCGGCTCTGTTTCGTGGCGGTCTACCCGCTCGTCTTCTGTTCTCGGCTCCAGTTGTGAGGCTGAGATCTACGCAGGGGCCATGGCTGCACAGGAGCTACGCTGGCTCACCTACCTGCTGACTGACCTGGGAGAGCCGCCTCGTTCTCCTCCAGTGCTGTACGTAGACAACAAGGCCATGCTGGCCTTGTGTCGGGAGCACAGACTGGAGCACAGAACAAAGCACATCGCTCTTCGCTACTTCCTTGCTCGTGAGCTGCAGCAGCGTGGTCAGCTGCGTCTTGCTTACGTGGCCTCTCAGGCCAACACTGCTGATATCTTCACTAAGGCACTCGCGCCTTGTGATCATCAGCGCTTCTGTACTCTGTTAGGTCTTGTGCCTACCTTGCCTCACTTGCTCACTTCTTGACCTTGCTTGTACTGCTACAAATATATATACCTGCTCTTGCTTGTTTAGCGTTATATATATGTAATCTTGCATGTGAACTGGCCTTGTGGCCTTGAACTTGTGCTCAGAATGTGTGGTGACATTGAGATCCACCCTGAGCTTGCTTTGCTTTGCTTGACTGGTCTTGTGACCCCTTGTTCTCCCCCACTTTGCCTATGGGGGTGTGTCAAACATTATATATGTTGTAGCTTTGTAGGCTACAGTGGGTTTAGCCTTAGGGGGTACACAATTCTAGGGTTGCATATTTGTACTCCCATTCTTGCTAGTCACACCATTCCTCGTTTCTTCACACAAATACCTCCAACCAGAATCCTGTACGTATATAGTGCATAGGTTATAAAACCAAAATGTGTGGAATCACATACACAAGTCCAAACAAAACTTACCAGGTGGGCGGTGCACAAGCACCGACGGCGCGATGGACTTCATAGACTTTCTCAATTGAAAGCCTCATCAAGAAATCATTCAAAGATTACACATCACATCGACCAGGCTCCCTGTATTGTGGCCACGTCACCAACTCTGCCACAGTGAGATCCTCATAAAAAACGTAAATATTTCCAAGTCAAGATTTCACATCGTTCTTCATGAAACCATTTTTCTTGCCTATCACCATGATTTTCACATGAAAATCGCTTCGGGGACCTCCTGCTTGAACCTCAGCATCAATCCATTTGAGTTTCACATCTATAGATTTCTGCATATGAAACAAGTTTAACAAGTGAGAAAAAAAATGAGATATAGAACCATGATAACCAGAATGATACCACATTATGAATAACGTATAGAGAAAATTACCTCCCTTGAGTCTTGCGGAAATGGCAGAGTATCTGTCGTAAGCATATGTAAATAACAAAATAGCATATACATTGAAATAAGATGTTGAACAGAATGTACAATATTATACAAAAGAATTCAACAGGATGAAATATTGGCGTATCATATCGAGTGAAGTTGCATGCATGTAACATGTAAGATAATAAATATGATGTATGATTTGATACGGATGAAATATCGCGATGACGAACTTTTGATGATGTTATTCAACAACAGCGTACATAGGGAAATGGTAAAAAGAATATGTTTCACCAACATATACTTTTAGATGTGTTTTGAAACAGTTGCTCCAAATATGATAAATAAGTGTATCATTTACCGTTATAGGATCAACAATGAATTGCATGAAACCATGGAGTCTGAAAAAACGCCGATATTTAGTATGCGTACCAGCATTCATATCGACATTGAAATCGCACAAAAAAAATCATGTTACGGCTTGTATGCTTAGTAATGGTGGATGTGATCATATTAAAAAGAACGTTATGATTATGTTGATTGGTTGGATTACGATAATAACCGTAATAATTACATCTCCATCTTTAGCGTTCATGGTAAATGTTAATAATTCGGATTTTGAGTTTTCGACATATTGTACGTTTCTGATTGGAGTACAATGGTATAAAACAATCCCACCAGATTTGCAATCAAAACGAACAATCTTGAAGATGTTCGTCGGATTTGGTAACAATCGTTCTCGCCCAAGTGTGTCTCGAATAGATCCATAGAATCAAATCCGTCAAGATTGCTGATATTAACATCTCTGTAATGCCCCCGAAAACTTCTTATATTTTGAAATGCAAACTTCATCAATGACGATTGTTGAATGATCGCACCAATCTGTATAGAATTCAAAACAAGAGGTCTCTCACGTAGACGGCGCATTTTCGCTACTACACGAGAATCGGTTTTGATGCATGCTTCTAAAAAGCTTCGAACAAACAGTCGAGAAGGACTGCGAAATCGACTCAATCGAGGAAAGACTTTGGATTCAAAATGTATGACTCCACTCTCAAAAGTAGCACCTTGACTTCGATCAAAACTTATCGCATTACTTGGTCGCAATGGAAACTGCATTCGAGAAATCGTGTCATAGCGAGAATTCACCGAAAATGTTTTCTAGAGCGTCCAAGATGGTCTTACTCCCACAATCTTTGAAAACAATGATCGAGATTCCAAGCGCGTATTACTGCCAACAGATTGATCGTCAAATTGGACCCATATCACTCCCACCGTATTACGTGCATTCAATGTGAAATGAACTGCAACGCCAGGTGTGCCATTAGCAAGCCCATCTAGCGTATCCACATTACAAACCATGTGAACACGCGAGCTGATAAAAAGCTCAAGAACCGAATATAATCCATGTGATGAAGTTGTCGCAAACCCATCTGGGGTAATCGGTTTATCTTTTCTGGATTGATCAGTCTCGAACAACGCGCAATCTAACGCCGGGATTGCGTATTTCTCCTCCAACAAACATGAGAAAACACCGTGATTAAACGAGTCAATAGCTTTATTAGTGCAACACAAATGTTGCAAACTTGTCTCTCCCGAAGGAATATCAACATCTCGTTATGTAACATCTGTACGTTCGTAAGAGTTTGGGCCCCTTCTCGTAAACGATTTAACAGTTCGGCAAATCTGACCTCTTCGCGTTGCCGCATGATCATCGTAAGCTCAACAAGTTGTACATGTCTCCAAATGTCTAAATCACACGTTGAAGATAGATTGGTACGATCGTCGAAACAATGGATATCGCGCACAGGAGGTAGTTGGAAAAAATCCCCAACATAAACCATGTGCAAACCTCCGAAAGGAACTTTCGCGTCATTCGTAAGCTCACGAAGCCTAGAATCCATCCATTCGAAAGTGTTTCTGTTAATCTTCAAACGTACTAAACTAGCTACTAACAAGCCTTAGGTGGCACTAGAACTCTCTCCTCGGGGTCACCTCCGAGTGTCCTTGGGTGCCTGACCAAGGTCAGCCCCTATCCAAGGGTCCGAGTTTGTAGAGAGAGAGTCGTAGCAACAGCTGAAGTGTAGTAGCAATCGTCGCTTCCTTGGCGTTGTCAAGAGAATTAACTATAGTAGCGTACTTGCAGCAGGCACTGGAGAAATTCTTCACTCAAGTGATATAAAAACAAACAAGAACAAACAGTTTTATACTAAGCTAAATTATTCTACCCCTACCTTGATCTAGGTGCTTCAAATTCACACCTCGTAGCGCGAGCAGATTTTCAAGTTCCCTCCATTCCCTTCGTGACCTGGCGCACATTCGATGCGTCGCCTAAATATTTCATCTTTCGCGCGAGCGAACAATGTTGACGGTGCCGCTCCGATAATTTCACTTCGCGCCAATCTCGAACGGTTGCGATGAAGTCCGTTCAAAACCTGATCGAGTCAAAATGTCAGTGGCGATCAGCATTGCTTTCGATCGCTCCACTGTTGCTCGCCACGTCCCCTCGTTCCAAACTTACTTTTGAACCGAACTGTCAGTGCTGCTAAAAATCGTGAGCAACCGAACTTACTCGAAATCTCGCTGATCCCCCCACCTGTGCTGAAAAACGGTTCGCGAGTATATGACGTTTGCGTTTCTGAGCACGCTAATGAACACGCGCTAACGAACGCGCTAACAAACGCGCTAACGGACATGATAACGAACGCGCTAACGAACACGCTAACGAACGCGCTAACGAACACGCTAAACGAACAAAGACCAATCTCGCTCCTCGAACAGTGGCAATGCGAGCAACTGATTGCTCAAACTCATGAGCAATTGCTATTTCGAACAGCAGCCAATCAAAACCTTCAAAACAACTCGCTCAAGAACTAAAAAGTCAAACTCGCTCCTTGAACACCACCAACCGCTCCCATTGGTCGAAGCTCAAAATCCCTTGATCCCTCGATAAGAAACGACTCGCTCCACAGCTTCAGCCGCTTGAAACACACCTTCTTGATAAAATTGGCTGATAGATTTACAGATTTTTTTTTCTGTAATCAACAGTTTCTCCCAACCATTGAGATTTCGTCGCTAACAACAATCCAACGTCTCTAAGACTTGATCTTAAAGTATTTAACTTGTCTGAAGTCAAAATTTTTATGCGGCAATTCTGCGCGACTGGAATCATTAAAGCATTATGGATTGTATAACATTTGGAAAGCAGCAACTCTTGAAGGGGCTATTTTCAACACGTTGATCGTATTAAAGTTTTTGCGCATGGAATGTACGAATCAGTCGATCGTGAACGGTTTTAATCAAAACGGATTTTCCGACTCCGGCACCTCCGTTGACGAATATCGATGAAGACCCATATTCAAAGGAACAACGCACTCCACGTACAATGATATCGGCAAGTGCCTGTTGCTCTGCATTCAACATGCGTTCCATCGATAGATAGTCGCTCTCGTTTGTAAGCACCGTATGGAAAATATCTGTGGATCGGGCGAATTTGTCAAACCCAAGTTCGACGCCAATGTCAACATCTTCATTCGGGGATGTTTCGTTTATCGGGATCGTCGACGTCGTCATCCACATCGATGGCATCTTCTAGTGCGCGTATTCACGTAACTCCATTCATTAATCGAATATTCATTCCTCTTGGTCAATATAACGTCATTGTTTGCCGCATAGATTTGCGCAACTTCGCACGGTTAATCGTACGGTGAAACGAGATCTGTCTTCGATGATGCCTGCAAGACCTTCACTGTTTGGTGCAATGTTTGGGATTGAAAAATGAATATCTCCATTAGAATCAATCCACTCGTCAGATATGCTGAACTTTGTCTCATCTTCCTGCCTTTCGTCGATACAACTTCGATGCATGGTCGTTGTTCCATGACATGGATCAGCATTGGATGAGATATGCTCGCGTTGCATGAGCGACGTTTCAAGAATGCTCGACCGTTCCACTTTTTCTTGGATTTCATCCACACAAAAGAGGCGCCATCTTGTTCGCCTCTCACTTGAAAATTCTTCTACCCGAACGTGTTCACGTTGCATGCGCAACGTTTCTGACTCTAGTTCTTCTTCGTCTTGCACTTTGTCGATATGAATTGAACGCGCACAACTTCCTCAGGCAAAAGTTCCAGAATCCACCTGTTCGTTGAGATTGCTCGACGATTTCGAAACATCTTCCAATTCATCAAAAGCATGCCCTCTACTGGTTGCTCGTTCAAACGGAACACCTTTGAATGGAATGTTCTCATGCTGCATGCGGTACATTACTGGTTCAGCTCATCTGACAGGTATGCTTGACTCTTCCACATTAGTACAATTAGCTCGTGTGCAACCTTCTCTCTCGCTCGAAACATTTTTAGGTGGGAAATGATCACGTTGCAAACGATGCCTTCGAAAGTTCTTATTTCCCTTGCTTTTCTCACTTGACACTTCGAATTCAGTGGTATTCGACGGAGTAAGAAACGAAGTTCCCCAAACCTCACCTTCATTACACTCTTTAAGAAGAGTGTAATGATCGTTGGATAACAACAAATGAATCTGGTTATTGCTAGACAAAAACTCTAACCCCTCATATTGCATCCGTTCGCGCGAATCAAGCCATATTATAACCGTTCTGTTTATTAGCTCGCAAAATGCTCTGATTTCGCACGCTGAACTCGAAACCGAAGGTTGTTCGATATATTGAACATATTCTTCCACAGTCGTTAACGACACATCGTGACACAACGCAACGAAGTTTTGGTATCGCGACCAGTTGACACAAACGTGCTCAATAATTTGTCAAACATTATGTTGTGTAGGCTGTAGTGGGGTAGCCCATAAGGGGTACAACCCAATTAGGGTTAGTACTTGCACCCAGTTCATTTTCAATGCAAACATTCCAGTCTCTTATTTTGACATGGTTTCAGAGCAGGTCCTGTTCCAGGACCGTTTAGGGCCCACCGATTCATTAGCTGCCCATAGCGCCCTACCCCACCAGTCGCGCTGCCCTGCCCTGCCCTGACAGTCGCGCTGCCCTGCCCTGCCCTGACAGTCGCGCCGCCCTGCTGGCTGCGCGCTGCCCTGCCCTGCCTGTCGCGCTGCCCTGATGGCCGCGCACTGCACTGCCCTCCCCGCATGCCGTCGTTTCCTGCCCGCGCGCCGCCCTTTACTACCCACGTGCCGCCCTGCTGGCCGCGCGCAGCCCATTGCTGCCCGTGCGCCGCCCTCTGCAGCCCGCGAGCCACCCATTGCACCACGCGCGCCGCCCTCTGAAGCCCGCGCGCCGCCCTTGCAGCCCGCGCGCCGCCCTTTGCAGCCCGCGTGCCGCCCATTGCAGCCCGCGCGCCGCCCTGCGCAGCCCGCGTGCCGCCCTCTGCAGCCCGTGCGCCGCCCTTGCAGCCCGCGCGCCGCCCTCTGCAGCCCGCGCGTCGCCCCGCTGGCCGCACGCCGCCCTTGCCTGCCCGCGCGCCGCCCTTTGCAGCCCATGCGCCGCCATTTCCGACCGCGCGCCGCCCTACCCTGCACGTTTCCCTAGTGCACGCGCTCCACCCTGCTAGTCACGCGCCACCCTACTCTGCCAACTATGGCTACACTCAGCGTACTCACATTCGATCCTGACGTGCTCGCTCACAGTGGCTTACTCGTGACGCTGCTGCTCGCCTAGCCGTTCGCAACCACCTGCCGTTAGCCGAACACGCTCACTTTGGCTAGCACAAAACCGCTAAGGCCCTGTACGACGCTGTAGTCGCTCGTTACTCCTCCCCTGCCACTGCTGCTCTCGGCCGCCTTATACTGCCCTACCTGTTTCCCGAGCTGTCCTCCTTTGCCACAGTTGAGGACCTCATCACCCACCTTTGCACTAGCAACACTCGCTATCGCACCGCCCTCCCAGCCGAATTCGTAGAGAAGAACCCGCCCCCGATGTACATCACGCTCTACTTCATAGTGAACCGCCTCCCTGACTCTCTTCGTGCAGTCAGGGACCTCTTTCTAGCACTTGACCCCACAGACCTCACTCTCAACCTGCTCGAGAAGCACCTCCTTGCAGCTAAGACTAGCATAGTCATTGTAGGTGCTGCTCGTGGTACTACTCGCACTCCCTTCTTTGAAAAATGTTCCCCCTCCCCCCTTGCCCCCTCCTACGCTTCTGCTGCTGCTGTTGACTTCCTTGGTGCTGAGGAGGTCGGGGCTGCGTCTGCTCCTAGTGGGAGGCGCCGCAGCGGCAAGGGCAAAGGGGGCAAGGGTGGAGGTGGCGGCGGGGGAGGCGGTGGTGGAGGCGGTGGAGGCGGTGGAGGTGGCGGTGGTGGCGGTGGGACTGGTGGCGGGGCTGGGGGCGTCGGTGGCGGCGGTGGTGATAGCGGTGGGAGTAGTGGCGGCGGTGGTGGCGGCAGTGGGAGTGGTGGCGGCGGTGGTGGCAGCAGTGGGAGTGGTGGCGGCGGCAGTGGTGGAGGTCGGGGTGGAGCCGTTCAGAGGGGAGGTTCTGGCGGTGGCCAGAGGCAGCAGCAGCAGCGTCCGCGTGAGACCCTTACGCCCCAGCAGCTTTGTGAGTGGTTTGCTCAGCGTGGGGCGTCTGGGGTTGTGTTCGCTGCTCGTACGTCATTCGCACAAGTGACCGCGCTGGTCAGATATGTGGGAAGTATCACACACAGCACCGCTGCTTCTCCCGCCTTGACGACGCTTGGCGCGCAGAGTTTGGCGACGAGGCAGAGCTTCCCCGGTGGCTAGAGCTGCTTAGGTCTGGTGTTGATATCTTTGCTCTTGACTATGACGCTATCCTTGCTGCCATGTATGCTTTGACTGTTAGTGCTGAGGGTGACTGTTACCTGTGTGTGCCGCCCGACCCTGGTATAGAGGCTGCTGCTCTAGGTGCTAGTGAGTCTGCTCTCTCTGGTACTGCGCTAGCAGAGACCTTGCACACCTTCACGCTTGACTCAAGTGCTTTCCGCTGTTTCTTTCGCAACAGTACCACAGTCACACCACTCCCTGCACCCGTTGCAGTCTCACTGGCTAACCCCTCAGGGGGCGCGGTTCTTGCACGTTCCTCTACTGTTCTCCTCTGTCCGGCTGTTCCGTTCGGCTCACTGTCAAGTCTCCACCTCCCCTCGTTCTCGACGAACTTGGTGAGCAACGCTGTCCTTCAGGATGCATGGGTTGATACCTTACCCCTGGAGGGCAGGAAGTGGCGATCTGCACGTGCTCCCTAACTGGCTGTCACCTGGCCATGTTCACCCGTCGGCCTGGGTCGAGTCTGTACACACTGAGTGCTGCGCCTCCTCAGGTCGCTGCGTTTGGTCAGGTGTCCACGGCAGGTCAGGTAGCAGCCCCCTGCGAGTGTCGCCTCCTGTCGCACCAGACTCTCCTTTGGCACCACCGCCTTGGTCACCCCTCCCTGCCACGCCTCCGTGGCATGCACTCCCGCCTCCTTGTCTCTGGTCTTCCCAGGTCTCTGCCTCCCCTCCCACCCTCGCCTGCCCCACCATGCCTTCCTTGCGTCGAGGGGCGGCAGCGCGCCGCTCCTCACTCCTCCTCGTTTCCCCCGACGACTGCTCCCTTGCAGACGCTCCACATAGACGTGTGGGGCCCAGCCCGCGTCAGTGGACAGGGCCGCGAGCGATTCTTTCTGCTGGTTACTGACGACTACTCACGTTACACCACGGTCTTCCCCTTGCACAGCAAGGGGGAGGTCCCTGATGTCTTGATCCCTTGGATCCGCGCTGTCCGTCTCTAGCTCCGCGAGCGGGATTTTCCTGTCCTGCGTCTGCACTCTGACAGAGGTGGTGAATTCTCCTCCCACCTCTTTTGGGACCTCTGTCGTGGGGAGGGCATCCTCCAGTCGTTCACGCTTCCGGCCTCCCCACAGCAGAATGGGATTGCTGAGCCCCGCACTGGCTTAGTCATGGAGGTGGCTCGTACCTCCATGATCCATGCGGCTGCTCCCCATTTTCTGTGGCCGTTTGCGGTCCGGTACGCTGCGCATCAGCTCAACTTCTGGCCCCGTGTCTCCTTGCCGGAGACCTCGCCTACACTGCGTTGGACGGGGGAGGTTGGCGATGCGTCGGTGTTCCGGGTCTGGGGCGCTCGTGCCTTTGTCCGCGATACCTCCGCGGACAAGCTCTCCTCCCGCGCCATTCCCTGTGTCTTCCTTGGCTTCCCCCCTGACGCGCGTGGCTGGCAGTTTTATCACCCCACCATGCGCCGTGTTCTGTCCTCTCAGGACGTCACGTTTGACGAGTCGGTTCCCTTCTACCATCTCTTCCCCTACCGCACTGCCCCTCTCCCCCCTCCGCCGCTCTTCCTCGCTCCAGGTCCCCCTCCGGTAGACCCCCTTCCCCCTCAGGGTCCTGCTCCTTCAGGTGTGTCTCAGGTAGACCCACTTCCCTTGGCTGAGCCTGTCGAGGTCACTGGTGACTCTGGTGCTGCTGGGGGTGGTGCTGCTCGGGGTGCTGCGTCTGGGGGTGCTGAGCCTGTGGGTGCGGAGCCTGGGGGTGCTGAGCCTGAGTGTGCGGAGCCTGGGGGTGCTGAACCTGCGGGTGCAAAGCCTGGGGGTGCTAAGTGTGGGGGTGCTTATCCTAGGGATGCTGCGTCTGCTGGAGGTCCTACGGGTGCCTCGCCGCAGCGGTCTAGCCGGCGGGAGCCTCTCTCACCACAGCAGCTGCGCGAGTGGTTTGCTCGGCGCACCCGCCTTCGGAGTGGCGCTGCTGGAGCTGGAGGCACTGCCGCTGGAGGCGCTGGAGCTGGAGGCGTTGGAGCTGGAGGCACTGCCGTTGTGGACACTAGAGCTGGAGGCACTGGAGGTACTGGATCTGGAGGTCCTGGAGGTACTGGATCTGGAGGTCTTTGAGCTGCTGGTACTAGTGGTATTGGAGCTCGAGGTATTGGAGCTCGAGGTACCGGAGCTGGGGGCGCTGGAGCTGGAAGCGCTGGAGCTGGTGACCCTGGAGCTGGAGGCGCTGGTGCTAGAGGCCCTGGAGCTGGGGGTGCTTGTCAAACATTGTATGTTTATATTGTGTAGGCTGTAGTGGGTTACACCTTAGGGGGTACACAAAGTTAGGGTTTCCTACTTGTACCAAACTCTGTGCTAGTTCATTTCATTCCTGCTCAGTTATTCTGACATGGTTTCAGAGCAGGTCCTTCGCTAGGACTGTTCTTAGGGCCCACCGTACGATACCTACCTACCTACCTACCTACCGGAGCGCGTTCTTAGCGTCTCCCCCGTAGCGCCCTCGCGAGCGTTACCTTTTTTTTCCCGGCCCCGCTGGCCCCGTCGATTGCGATCGCACCTACCGGCCCCGTTGGCCCTCTAGCGAACCGCCCGCGAACTGCCTGCGCGGCCTCGCCGCGCACCGCCCGCGAACCGCCCGCGAACCGCCCGCGAACCGCCCGCGCGGCCTGCGCGCCGCCCGCGAACCGCCCGCGCACCGCCCGCGAACCGCCCGCGCGGCCTGCACGCCGCCCGCGAACCGCCCGCTACCCGCTGCCGGCCCGCGTGCTGCTTGCGCGGCCCGCACGCAGCCTGCTGCCGGCCCGCCGCTGCCGCTCGTGCGCACCCGCAGCCGCCGCCGCACGCACCCGCTGCCGGCCCGCCGCTGCCGCCCGTGCGCACCCGCAGCCGCCGCCGCACGCACCCGCTACCGGCCCGCCGCTGCCGCCCGTGCGCACCCGCAGCTGCCGCCGCACGCCCTCGCCTGCCGGCCCGCCGCTGCCGCCCGTGCGCACCCGCAGCCGCCGCCGCACGCCCTCGCTGCCGGCCCGCCGCTACTGACTGTCCGCACCTGCAGCCGCCACCGCACGCCGCTACTGCCGGCCTACCACCGCAGCCCGTGCGCCCCTGCGACTCCTGCTAGTGCGTCTTTACAGCTACAGCGGCCCTACTCTGTCTACTACTGCTGCTACTGCTACTATCGCTATGGCTAGCCCTCCCGTTCTAGCTTTCGACGCCGAGGGCCGTCCAGTGAAGTTCGAAACCTGGCTCGATGACCTGCACCTGTTCCTACAGCTCACGGCCAAGGAGGATATTTCTCTGTACGACCATGCTCTCGGCCACGCTACTGCCCCTCTTACTACTGCTCCCCCCACTGAGCGCTCACAGTGGCAGACCCGTGACGCGCACGCTCGCTTCGCCATACGCAACTCCCTGCCGCTAGATGAGCGCGAGCACTTCGGCCAGTGCAAGACTGCTAAGGAACTGTACACCGCTGTCGTTGCCCGCTACTCCTCACCCGCTTCTGCCACGCTAGGCCGCCTCACTCTCCCCTACCTGTTCCCCGACCTGGCCTCCTTTCACACTGTCGCAGACCTCATCACCCACCTTAAGACTAGTGAGGCCCGCTTTCGCGCTGCCATGCCTGACGAGTTCCTCGCTAGCAACCCCCCCCCGCTCTGGATCACTCTCTACCACATCGTCACTCGCCTCCCTGACTCTCTGCGCGCAGTCAGGGACCACTTCCTCTCTCGCTCCCCCACCGAGCTCACCGTAGCCCTCCTCGAGAAGGAACTGCTTGCAGCTGAGGCCAGTATCGTCGCTGTAGGCACCTCTCGTGGCGACCCTCGCGGCCCCTTCTTTGAGGGGTGTTCCCCTTCCCCCCTCCTCCCCTCTGTCGCCTCTGCTGCTGCTGTCGACCTCCTTGGTGCTGAGAAGGTCGGGACTGCGTCTGCTTCGGGCGGGCGCCGCAGGAGCAAGGGGGGCAGGGGTGGGGGTGGCGGCGGAGGAGGCGGGGGTGGAGGTGGTGGCGGTGGAGGCGCGACTGGGGAGGCTAGTGGCGGTAGTGGGGGAGGTGACAGCAGCGGTGGGAGTGGTGGCAGGGGCGGAGGCGGCGGCGGAGGCGGAGGTGGTCGTGGCAGCGGCAGGGGTGGAGGTGGCCGGGGCGGAGGCGGAGGAGGTGGTGGTCGTGGAGGCACGGGCGGAGGCCAGAGTCAGCAGCCTGCCCCGACGCTTCAGGCCGCCCGTGAGTGGTATGCGCAGCGCGGCTTTACCTGCACGTACGTTATTCGCACAGGCGACCGCACTGGCCAGACGTGTGGGAGGGCGCACCAGACGCAGCGCTGCTTCGCGCGCCTCAACGACGCGTGGCGCACCCAGTTTCCTGACGCCACTGAGCTGCCGCGCTGGGCTGATCTGGAAAAGAGGGGTGTTGATATCTGGGCTCTAGACTTTGATGCTATTCTCACTGCCATGTATGCAATGTCTCTTAGTGGAGAGGGTGCTCAGTACTTGCGTGTTCCGCCCGACCCGGGCATTCAGGCCAGCCCAGCTGCTGCTCTAGGTGCTAGTGTGTCTGCTCCCACAGGTCCTGCTGCAGCAGCTGCCCTAGGTGCTAGTGCGTCTGTGACCCCTGGTACTGAGTCGACTGCAGCACTGCACACCTTCACACTGGACTCAGGTGCTTCTCGCTCTTTCTTTCGTGACCGCACTGTCCTTGAGCCACTAGCTCGGCCGGTTGCTGTCTCTCTTGCTGACCCCTCAGGGGGTCCGGTCATTGCGACCTCCTCCACTACACTTCCGTGTCCAGCGGTTCCGTCCGGCACGCTCTCAGGTCTCTACCTCCCCTCGTTCTCTACGAACTTGGTGGCGGGCTGTGCTCTGCAGGACGGGGGTGTTCACCAGTTCACCCCTGCCTACGAGCGTGTGACACATTGCACGTGTGCTCGGACGGGCCGCCACCTGGCTACTTTCACTCGGGAGCCGGGGTCGGACCTGTACACACTGACCACTGAGTCTCCTCAGGTAGCTGCGTCTGCGTCTGCGTCTGCGTCAGGTCAGCTGTCCGCCCCCTGCTCATGTCGCTCTCTGGCGCATGAGACTGTCCTCTGGCACCACCGCCTTGGTCACCCGTCTGTGCAGCGCCTTCGGGCCATGCACAAACAGGACCTTGTTGCTGGTCTTCCCAGGGTGCTCCCTCCCCTTCCCGACTCCCCTGCTCCTGACTGCATTCCCTGTGTCGAGGGGCGGCAGCGCGCTGCTCCTCACTCCTCCTCCTTTCCCCCGACGACTGCTCCCTTGCAGACGCTCCACATGGACGTGTGGGGCCCAGCCCGCGTCCGTGGTCAGGGTCAGGAGAGGTACTTCCTGATAGTTGTTGACGACTACTCGCGCTACACCACGGTCTTCCCCTTGCGCGCCAAGGGTGACGTCCCTGGTGTTTTGATCCCCTGGATCAGCCGAGCCCGTCTCCAGCTAGGCCAGCGCTTTCACTCGGACTTTCCTGTCCTGCGCTTGCACTCTGACAGAGGTGGTGAGTTCGCCTCCGACCTCTTGGCAGCCTACTGTGCTGAGCACGGCATTGAGCAGTCGTTCACGCTTCCGGCCTCTCCACAGCAGAATGGGGTCGCTGAGCGCCGCATTGGCTTGGTCATGGAGGTCGCTCGTACCTCCCTGACCCATGCGGCTGCTCCCCACTTTCTGTGGCCGTTTGCGGTCCGGTACGCAGCGCATCAGCTCAACCTCTGGCCCCGTGTCTCCTTGCCGGAGACTTCCCCGACTCTTCGGTGGACGGGAGAGGTTGGCGATGCGTCGCGTTTCCGGGTCTGGGGATCTCGAGCTTTTGTCCGCGACACGTCCGCGGACAAGCTCTCGCGTCGCGCTGTTCCCTGTGTCTTTCTTGGCTTTGTTCCCGACGCGCCTGGATGGCAGTTTTACCACGTCACCTCGCGCCGGGTTCTGGCCTCTCAGGACGTCACTTTTGACGAGTCCGTCCCCTTCTACCGCCTCTTCCCCTACCGCACTGCCCCGCTCCCCCCCCCGCCTCTCTTCCTCGCTCCAGGTGCTGAGGTACCAGACCCCCTCAGGGTGCCGCTCCCTCAGGTGTGTCCCAGGTAGACCCGGGTGAGCCTGTCGAGGTAGCTGTTGACTCGCGTCCTGCGTCTGGGGGTGCTGAGCCTGGGAGTGCTGCGTCTGAGGGTGTGGAGCCTGGGGGTGCTGAGCCTGGAGGTGCGGAGCCTGGGGGTGCTGAGCCTGGAGGTGCGGAGCCTGGAGGTGCGGAGCCTGGAGGTACTGAGCCTGGGGGTGCTGAGTCTGGACGTGCTGAGTCTGGGGGTGCTGAGTCTGGGGGTGCTGAGCCTGAGCGTGCTCCACCTGGAGGAGCCCTCTCCTCCCAGCAGCTGCAGGAGAGGTACCTCGAGTACTGCCGCCTCCGGAGAGGTGCTTCTGGAGCTCGTCCCGGTACTTCCCCTCCTACCCAGGAGCTCCCCCCCATTCAGGTGATCCGCGAGTGGTACACGCGGCGCTGCAGTCTTCGTAGTGGTGCTCCTGGTACTGCGGACCCGAGCGGTGGTGCTGTTGCTGGTGCTGAGGACCCGGACGCTGGAGCTGCTGCTGGTGCTGAGGACCCGGGGGCTGGAGCTGCTGCTGGTGCTGAGGACCCAGGCGTTGGAGCTGCTGCTGGTGCTGAGGACCCGACAGGTGGAGCTGCTGCTGGTGCTGAGGACCTGACCGGTGGCCCTGCTGCTGGTGCTGAGGACCCGGGCGTTGGAGCTACTGCTGGTGCTGAGGACCCGACCGGTGGTGCTGCTGCTGGTGCTGAGGACTCGGGCGTTGGAGCTGCTACTGGTGCTGAGGACTCGGGCGTTGGGGCTGCCACTGGTGTCCCTGCTGCTTCTGGAGACGCTGCGCGGCCGCGACCGTACTTCGTACCGCTCCTTCAGCAGGTTCTTGGTCAGGCTCCTCCTCCTAGTCCTCCTCCCTCCGTCGAGTGTCCTCTGCCTGTCCAGCCGCAGTCACAGTTACCGCCTGCCTCGCCTCTCCCTGCTCCCTCTCCTTACGCTGGTCCCACGGGAGGTCTTACAGAGCGTCGTGAGCCTGAGTCTCGTCCTGCGTCGCCTGTTCGTACTGCTCGCACTGGTCGT